AGCAGCTTCCTTCTTCACCAGGGGGCTGGCGCGGGTGCCGGGCTGGGGGCCCGTAGAGGGCGCAGCGGCAGGTGGGGGGCTGGGTGCGGCTGGCAGGAGGGCCTCGGCGCTGAGCTCTCGGCTGCGTTCCAGGCCCGACACCTTGGGCACCGCCCCGGCCTTGGCCTCGGACCTGTCGCCACGCGCAGGACCTGCAAAGAGATGGCAGGTGTGTTCTTGCGGCCAGGAACGCCAATGTCCAGGCTCACTGAATGCTTTCAGCAACCTATGAGGGTGTCCTATCACCCTCATTTCCGATGGGGAGATAGGCTCAGAGGTCACACAGCTGGGGTGGACCCCCCTACCCGATACTCCATGCCCTCCCTGTCTGTGCACCTGGTCTCACAGTGCCAGGGGAGGGCGATGGCTGGGGCTGCTGTGCCCACCTGGGTCCCCGGCCCTGCTGACCCCCCTAAGTTCCATCAAAGGCAGGGAGAGTCGCGTGCCCTGCAGTAATCCCATGGAAGGGACTGCTGTGATCCCATTTTACAGACAAAATCAAGGTAGGTACGTTCCTAATGGGTCTACTTTGAGAGCCACCGCTGCAGACTGCAGCCGAGGCCCCAGCCCCACTCAGCCCACTTCCTAGTACATCACAGCACCTTAAGCCCTACCCAGGCTCTGCACTCCAGGAGCCCCACCCAGGATGGGACCTAACCTGGGCCCCATGGTCCTATCCATAGCAGGTGCAGTTGCCTGGCCTTCCCACTCTGACTTCAGGGTCAACATAGAGACCCAGAGGTTAGCTAACTGAGGGGATGCACTTACCTTTATCAGCTGCCGGAGCAAAAAGCTTCTCAGAGCCCACTGATGCCTGAAGAGAGAGAAGAGGGTCAGAGGCTGGGTCTGGGGGTGAGCCTGGCCCTCATAGTTCCCATATTCCTGGTACTCAAAACACAAGACTGGGCAGGATTTGTTCCCCTGGGGAGAGCCCACCCGGCCTGACCACACATGCCCTTCTGCAGGCGCCCACTAATGTGAGCACACTCAACCCTGGGCTCCAGGAACGCATGCACATGTGTTCACGCCAGCAGCACATGGGCTCCTCTCTGCTCAGAGCTGAGGTCTTCTTCGAAGTGGGGTCCGAGTAAGGACTGCAAGTGGGTGGTCAAGGAACCAGGATGCTGCCTGCTCAGCAGGGTGCTGAGTGGCCACTGCTGGGGTGGCCTGGGGGGTGCTGGGATTCTGCAAATCCATGCCCCTCTTGGTGGAACCAGCGCTGGGAGCCTATGGGTGGGCTAGAGGGGGTGACAGGGTTTGGGATGTGCCTCCACCCAGGGCAGTGCCCAGGTGCCTGGCTCGGTGCCCTAGCAAGGGTGAAAAAACCACAACACCTAACAGGTCAGAGAAACATTGACCCACGTGGCCGCACAGCACTGTCTTCCACACCTGGGACTAACCAATTACAGGTCTAGTAACCTACGCCATTGTGAGGCGGCTGAGTGTCCCAGGATGCGTGAGCACTCCGAGGGGGTAAATTGCTACCACACTTGACAGATCTATGGCAACTCCTCTTCTTCCTCCCTCCTAGAGAATTGTGCCCTCGTGTGTGCAAAGGGGGATGCAGGTGGCCAGGGTGAGAACGTGGCCCCTCAGTGTCCACCAATGTGGGCGTGCATAGCAAATGGAGGGTCCTATGCTCTGCAGGACTTTGCAGCAGTTTAAGGGAATAAGCTTGGTAAGAATGGCCCTAGACAGATTTTTTTCCCCTAGTTTTTCTTAAACAGCTTCATTGAATTATGGACTGGACGTTTATGTACCCCTAATTCATATCCTGAAACCCTACCCCCTAATGTGAGGGTGTTAGGAGGTGGGGCCTTTGGGAGGTGATTAAGTCATGAGAGTGGAGCCGTCATGAATGGGTCCTTATAAAAGGCCCCAGAAAGCCCTCTCACCCCTTCCACCGCGTGAGGACACAGCAAGAAGGTACTATCTATGAACCAGGGAGCTGGTTCTCACCAGACACTGAGGTGGAGCCGTCATGAATGGGTCCTTATAAAAGGCCCCAGAAAGCCCTCTCACCCCTTCCACCGTGTGAGGACACAGCAAGAAGGTACTATCTATGAACCAGGGAGCTGGTTCTCACCAGACACTGAATCTGCCATGCCTTGATCTTGAACTTCCCAGCCTCCAGAACTGCAAGAAATAGATTTATTTTCTTCCTTTCTTTCTTTCTTTTTT